TTGCTTGTTTTCACTTGGGCAGGGTGAGCTGCAGCCTGGGCAGGTTCTGTGCCCAAAGCACTCAGCACACCCGGGTGCCCTGCTGCAGGCTGACACAGAGCCAGCTTGTGCCAAAACCAGCGTGTTTGTGCAAAAGGCTGCAAAGGGGAAGCCTGGAGCTGTAAGAAACAAAACAAAGCTTTTGCCAAAGAAATCTCTCCCAGCCGCACTGATGGCCTCAGAGCACAACACAGCACTTCTGTAGGTCCCATGTGGCCAAGGCCGAGTGCTTCACTGTTAGCTTCTGTACCTTGAAGTTCCAGCTCCTGGAATCACGTAGCAAGGCTGCGACGCAGGGCATGGGTGAGAGGGCAGCAGGGTGAGGAGTGGTGGTGAGTTGGTTGCTGCTTGCCCTGAGCATCACTCACCCTTGCTCATAACTAACGTGCAGTTTAGATAGGACTAGTCTGCTTCTTTGGAAGCTCTGCTCAGAGCTCTTTGCATGGGAGTTTTGATGCAGTAAATGCTGATGGTATATATATAAAAAAAGAAGTGCCACTGTTCTGCATCCTGGGGAGGGTTTCTCCTCCCTGCAGAAAGGGCTGGGTGAGACCCCAGTGTGCATTCATCCACTGACTCAGTCAGGTGCAGCTGTGTGTGCTGAGCCACCTGCACCACTGCCAGGGTTGGCAGTCTGCAAATTGGAGCTGCTCTGCTGGCAATCAGCCCCTGCTGCTTCTGCTCCCCGAAGCCACGCATGTGCTGCATCCCCTTCCTTCCCCCAGGTTTGTTTCCTTTCAGCCTCAGGTGATGGCTGTGGGATTGAGAAGGAAAACTTGAACGAGAACACTGGTGAGCAGCCGGGGTTTCCGCTGTTCCTCTGTTTCTGCTTTTCTCTGTGCCTGGGACTGGAGGGGCTGGGGGCTCTGCGGGGTCCCAGGTCGCGCAGGACTCAGGGCTGCAGAGCAGGGCTCAGGCTGGGAGTGGGGATGGTGGCCACTGGGGTGATGCTCAGCGGGACTGTGGGCTGCCTGCGTGTGCTCTGGTGCGATGGATGGACAGGATGACGTGCGGATGGATAGGCGTAGAGGGGAAGGTGTAACTGCTACTCGAATGAGGAGAAAGTGGTTTGGGTGCAAACATCCAAGCGTAAGGAGATTTGCGTTGCTTAAATGTATTTCAACTGTGAAGGCAAACTGTCAGATCAGCTGTTTTGTGGGAACGGTGTAGAAGTGAGCACGCATCGGAGGGAAGCACAGATTCACCTCTGAGCCAACACCTCCTGGCCCACTGTGCTCCCACCCCACCTTCACCACCAGGTCAGCCCTGCTAAAACCTCCTGCACTGACCTGACCCACGTGAGCTGCATCCTGCCGCCCCCCAGCAGCATCCCCTGCAAATTATGGCACAGGAATGCCTGCATCACCTCTTTGCAGCATCCCTCTTAGGTTTCTTTACCTCTGGAAAACTGACCCTTCCTGAGAGGTGTGCAGGAAAATCCCCGCATGCCCCCCAGCCCCCTGCCCTCTGATCTCTTTATGGTGTTTGTGCTGGGCTCCCCCACGCTGAAACTGCTCTTTGCCTTTGCTCTAATCTCCCCATCAAGCAGGTTGGGCAGGGGACAGCACAGCAAGTGCTCTGCAGAATGGCCAGATCCCGACCAGATGGAGGGAACGCTCTCACCTGGGGCTGCAGGTGATGTTTTTGGGGTTTCATTCACAGCAATCGGTGTCCAGGGCAAAGCCCCTGACTCCTGGAGAGTAACTTTGGATAAAGCCCAAATTCTCCATCCTGACACCTCAGTGCTGCACTGTGCCTGGGGGGAACCAACCCACGGACAAAGCTGCAGCCCCAGGAGCCCAGCACTCCCCTCAACATCCAGCTTGTGCTGGGGAAGGGACGAGCAGTGAGAGATCCCTTGTCCAAAGTCACTCCGGCTTGCATGCATTTAACCCATTCTCGATGAAGCGTGTCGTGTTCCTGGTGTTCTTTCAACCTGGAAAATTTGCTAAGGCTTTAATAATACCTTTGGTGTATCTTGGCAAGGCTGGGAAATGCCTGGGCTGATAAAGCCTCAAAGTCAGGGAGATAACACCTGGAAGCATTTCAGCCTTGGGCTGAGTTATGGGGGGTGCCGGCTGCAGCCTCACACCAAACCTTGTGCTGGGAGGCTGGAACTCAGCATGGAGCCTCAGATGCCCACTGAGCCGGAGCTCAGCCCAGCATCGCAGCCACTCTGAGGAGCGACGGCTCATCCAGCACCCAGCTCTGCTCCTCCTGCAGCCCCACAGCTGGAGAGATCCCCCCCAAAACAGCCTCCAGAGGTTTAATCTGCATCCATTTGCAGACACAAGGACATCCCTGCTGCTGCCTCCGCCGCTCTGTCCTGCTGACCTTGGGTGGGTGACGCGTCCCGGGCGCTGGTTAATGTTTGCTGTGCCTGTCGCAGGCGGGAGACGGCTGTTTGCAAAGAGCTCGTCACCTGCAGGGGGAAATGTGGTTCCAGAGGCTCAAGGATGCAGTTGGAATGGTGTACCGTAGAGTTCATGCTATGGAAATGGCTGGAATTAGACCGTGGTGAAGTAAGACTTGATGCAAAGTGGAACAGCGTGAACCAAACAACCAGGTGTTCCACACTGTATGGCAGCAATACCTCACAGAACGCCCTAGCAGGCTTTGGATGCTAATTAGCAACGTGGCATCAGATATTTGGTGAGTTGCCCTGCTAGTGGTGCTTGGGGCAGGGATAGGACGCCACGCTTGCAGGCTGGAGCCATCCCTGAAGCGGCCATAAACGCGCCCTGTTTGCCCTCCTGCTGGGCTTTGACCAGGTAAGGGATTAACTGCTGTTTGTTCTGTCTTCCCACTTGGGGTATTTTGGTGCACGGCACTTCCAGCTCTCCAAAAATAAGCTTCCCTCCCTGAACCACATCGTTATTACTGCTCATCAGTGCAGCCTGCACTCTGTGCTGTTCCTCCATCTTTCTGAGCCCGCTGTGTGTGCACACATGGCGCATTTCTGGACGCATTCAGGAGGTGAAATCAGAGCTTTTGTAGGATGTCGAGAAGCCAAAGCACTGCAGATCTCGGCTGAGCCCTGGCACTGCTCAGCTCACATGAAGGCATCGCTCCTGCCAAGAGACCCATTCAGCACTGCAGGGCTGATGCCCAGCACTGACCATCCCTGGGGCTGTTTTGTGATGTTTTCCTGAGGCTGTGGGCTCTCCATCCTCTCCCCATGGAGCCGTGGAAGCTCAGCACCAGCCCTGCATCAGCCTAAAGGACAGGGACACGACCAGGGCAGCTGTGCAGGAACGCCTCTGGGCACCCTCCTGCTTGTACCTCCAGGTGCACACTTCCTCCTGGGCTGCCTTCCTGCTCCCAGCAAGGAACGAGGAAATGCTGGGCCCTGCAGACACGTTTATGGACACGTCCCCAAAACACCCCGGGGAGGGGGGGGTGGCTGTCTGGAGCTGCGTGCTTTGAGGGTGTCCTGCAATAGGAGCCCCTGAACGACCCCTGGTGTGGAGGGGGAACCCCAGGGAGCCCCACACCCTCTGCCACCGCTGCTCAGCTGCCCTTGGGCACATCCTGGGTGCTGACCTCCTCCCAGGTGACGTCCAGGTGCCATTGATGTCACAACCCGGGGACCCAAATTGCTAATTATGTCTTGCCTCCGTGCCCATCAATCTCATTTCCTGGTGCTTGTGCAATCTCAGATGCTTTTGTCTTTCTTCCCGGTTGTTGATCTGGCTGAGGGAGCAAAACACCTCCAGAAGAAAACCTGAGCTGTGGGTGGCTGCAGAGGGGTTTTGCTGCCAAAGGGTTTTTCACCTGCCCCGATGGCATGGAGGCAGTTCGCTGTTTTGCACAAAGGCACTCGTGGGGTGAGTCAGGCAGCAGAAAACATGACTTTGCCCTGCAGACCTGGCCAGGTAACAAGGCTCTGAGCTGCCTGGGAGCCTGGGCATGTTTTAAAATATTTTGAAAAGTGGAAAACAAGGGAGGTGTGAGTGCTCACCCAGCCCTGACAGCTGGGACCTTTGAAACTCCCCTCCCCCCCTTCACCCCCGGAAAATAACAGTACTGGGAGCTGCCCATGCTGGCTGCTCGTGTTGTGCTTGCACCCACTGGTGTGGTTCAGAGCGGCCTGCTTGGGTAACTGGTGACTCTGTGATGCTGTGTCTATGGCAAAGCAAAAAGGCAGCACGGCCTGTTTAACCAATGTGATTGAAAGTGGGCTTTCAAAGTTGCCACTATACTGAAATGGTCTGCTGCAGTTCACACCTGTTTGCTCAGTTCTTGCAGTTAACCCCAAATTGGGGCGGCGTTGCTACGTGAGGATGGGTTTCATTTTAAAGGTCTCAATGACACTGCAGTGCTTGAAAACATGAAATGTTGGACTGGAGCTCAGTGCAGGGCTGAGGGGAAGCAGCAGCCCTGTGCTCAGCCTCCTGCAGCCCTCAGCACAGCTCTGCTCTCATGGGTGGCTGCACACCGCCCAGGTGGGTTTGAACCCACAGCAGCAGGAGGGGGTGATAAACGAGAGTTAAATGGGATCTAGAAGGTGGGCAACAAGATGGGGAAGGGTCTGGAGGGCACAGTGTGAGGAATGGCTGAGGTCCTGAGGTTTGTTCGGGACAGAGCAGAGAAGGCAGAAAGGAGGCTTCGAGGCAGTTCTACAGCCTCTCATGGCAGCCCCTCACCAACGCTGCTCTCAGACACGAGGTGTGCGTTTGGGTGGTGCTGTGCAGGGCGCCGTGATCCCTGGGAGCCCCACGGACTCGGGGTATTCCCTGATCCCACGATTTTGCAACGGCGATATTTTGACGCTTGCCGTTGCGCTGAGTAACGCTTCAACAAATAACAAACCCGGCAGCAACCGTCCCCGCGGGGCTCAGTATCGGCAGGAAGCGGCAGCCCCACACCGTCCCACCGCCCCGGGGCGGAGCCCCCTCCGCACCGCCCCCCCCGCCTATAAAGGGCGGCGGCCGCGGCCGCGGGCAGCGTTGGGTCGGTGAGCGGCGGGCCGCGGGTTCGAATCCCGCGGGGGGACGCTGGAGGGTCCGGGGGGCGGCTGCTTTCGGGGGGATCGAGGAGGGGGGAAAAGAGGCAAAGGGGTGATGCGACGCTCCGCTCCCGCAGGGTCGTCGCCATGTCGGTGTCACACAGCTCCAGGCTGAACAAGCTGGTGCGGGAGCAGTACATGAGGCTGCCCCAGGGCGGGCTGGTGCAGGTCACCTACGTCTGGATCGACGGCAGCGGTGAGGGCGTGCGCTGCAAGAGCAGGACCCTCGATAAGGAGCCCAAGAGCATCGAAGGTAACACCGCCTCCTCTCCTCCGCTGGCTGTTGGTGTGGTGGGTGGGCGCTGAGCGTGGCCGTGATGAAGCGTTGAGGTGCTTTGGGCACTGGGAGGTGTCGTTCACCTGTGCTGGTTGTGCGGTGCTGGCGATACCCGGTGCAGCTGTTGCACAGGGCTGTTCTATACAGCGGTAATGTAAATATCCGGCTGCAGGGTGCCCAGCCTGCAAGCTGTCATTGGTGCTGGGTGGGAAGGGGAGCTGCACTGGTTCATGGCACACTGCGAGCTGGTCCTGTGCGCCCACATCCTCCTGGGTGCCCAACTCTGGGTCTAATCCAGCAGCCCTTCACACACCCCACATGTGAGATATCTCTTTTTCAACTCCAGCCCTCTCTCTGCCCTTCTCCCACCCCGCAGATGTGCCCGAGTGGAATTTCGATGGCTCCAGCACAGCGCAGGCAGAGGGCTCCAACAGCGACATGTTCCTGGTGCCTGTCTGCATGTTCAGGGACCCCTTCTGCCTGGACCCCAACAAGCTGGTGCTGTGCGAAGTGCTGAAGTACAACAGGAAACCTGCAGGTGAGCATCGGTGTTGGTGTTGTTAATAATTCTTAATGCCTGTCGCCCTGGGGATAATTTGCAGTGCCTCTCTCCAAGGGGACTGCAAGCACCGGTGCTACTGTTTGTGGAATTGCACTGAGCACTTGGCCTAAGGCTCTGAAATGCAGGTGCCACAGGTGCATGCGTGGATGTGTTTTGGAGGTGCTGCAACAAGCAGGAGATCAGCAAGGAGGTTGATGTCCCTCGGGCAGAAGGGTGAGCTGGGGACTGATCCTGAGCGCACCCAGCCCTGCGGGGCTGTGCAGAGCACCAGCACTCCGTCTTGTAAATAAGAGGGAACCGCAGATGGGAAGTGGTGCTCAGAGCACTCAGGGGTGGAAACAGCAGGAAGAGTCGCTCTGCTGGTGGATGGCTGCAGGAAGGGAGCTGCAGGCAGGAGCTGGCGCGGCGCAGTCAGGCACGGGGTGTCCTTCTGCAAGCACGAGGACTTATCGGCGAGGGCAGAAGTCTGCAGTCCCGGCAGTCCGTTTGTCTGTCCATCTGATAAAGGTGCAGCTGGAGGAGGGGAGCCTTGGAGGAAGGGTTTTGGTTGAGATCTGTGCTTGGAGGCAGCTTTAAGCATGGCCTCGAGTGCTAGAGTTGGATTTGGGCCCCATTAAGTACCTCTGTGTCTTACTGTCCTGCTCCCACAGCCCTGGAGCTATGGGGATGAGGAGGACTAAACTGGGGCTGAGGATGGGAGCAAAGACATAATGGGAGATGGGCAGACCCTGTTCCCCGCTGTGCCAGGTGCCTGTGGGACAGGGCTGGCAGATGTCCTTGCTGTCTTCATGTGCGAGAGGAAGACGAGGACAATCATAGCTGGACATGGTGATCTTAGAGGTCTTTTTCAGCCCTAATTGTTCTATGATTCTATGACCGGAGGTTGTGGTTTAGGGAGTGATTTAATGAAACCTCCTGAGTCTGTGGCCGTGCAGTGGCTCTGCAGGGAGGAACCCAGTGAGTAGAAAGTGCTGCATGAAGGGGAATTCGCTCACTGCTCTCCTTGGGGCTTCTGTGGGAAGAACTTGGAGGTGGCTGGGACTGAGAGGGCTGAGGGCGACCGGGTCTGACTGCAACCACTGCTCACAGAGACCAACCTGAGGCACACCTGCAAGAAGGTGATGGACCTGGTGAAGGACAGCCACCCCTGGTTCGGGATGGAGCAGGAGTACACGCTGCTGGGTGTCAATGGCCACCCCTACGGCTGGCCCGACAACGGCTTCCCCGGCCCACAGGGTAAGTGCCTTCCTGAGGCCCCAAACCAAATGCTCAGCCCATAGGGAATGCAATCCTACAGCAGGCATCCCCATCCCAGCCCCATCCCATCGCCAGTGCTTCTCTGTGCTGGGTGGGAGGAGGTCTGGAACTGTTTCACCGCTGCCCCCTGGCTCACATGAGCCGGACCCCATTGCACAAACAGCTCTTGGCTGCACGACTTGTTTGTCAAGGGCTGGAGAACTCGGCTGGAAAAATCTCCCCACGGCTGTTGGTGAAAGGACCGGCTGGGTGCATGAGCCCAAGCACCTCCTAGAGGGAGCCGGGGGTTTCCCAACCCGCCTTACCCAGCCCTGCACAGGGACGGGCTGTTTGCAACATCTCCCTTCCCCCAGGCGGGGAGGAGATCTTCCCCTGGCAGGCTGAATGAGGAAGAACCCTGTGAAACCACAGCCTGCTGACTCTTCTAGGCACGAACAATGCCGGCTGTTGTCAGAACAATGTCTGGAGCCTGAAGTGCTCAGGGAGCCGGGGTGGTGCCGCCGGGCACATCCAGCCCAGCTCTGCTTATCTCTTGGTCGCCTTCCCATGCATTGCCAGTCCAGTTGAGCTGCATAGATAAGGCTGAGGTTGCACCACCACTGGGCTCTGGATTTTGGGTCTGAGCTCCGATGCACTGTGGAGGGCAGCGCCGTTTGATTCCTGTAAATTCTCTGTGACCAACACAATTCTCCGTTGCCAAGTTGGTGGGATTTCCTCCCCAGTGCTTTATTTACCTGATGCCTTCTGCCTCCTCCCCAGGCCCTTATTACTGTGGGGTTGGAGCAGATAAGGTGTACGGACGTGACATCGTGGAGTCCCACTACAAGGCTTGCCTCTATGCGGGCGTGAAGATCTGCGGCACCAACGCCGAGGTGATGCCCTCCCAGGTGGGTGCTTGGAGGTGCTGACCATGAGGATGCTCTGGGTCTGCTTCCCCCAGATGCATTGTCTCCCATCTCCCCTTGGAGGATTCTCTGCTGTTGGGTCTCCAGTGGTGAACATGTGTTGCTGGCTTAATCCTGCAGCATCAGTGCCAGCCAGGATGGCAGCAAACGAAGCTGTGGGTGCCCACATCCTGCCCTTGGTCCTGAGGACCCTCCTGCAGCACACATGGCTGGAGGGGATTTGAGTAGTTGAGGTGTTATCTCAAGGTGGTCCCTGATTGCTTTATGCATGTGGCCAGGCTGGGTAGTGGCAATTGGAGCCTCCCACTGATAAGCAGGGCCTTGTTGGCAGGGGGTTGAGGCAGGACATTACAAGCGTAACGAACCTGTTGCTTGCCCTGACATGATCAGTGTCCCCTCGGCTGCTCTCAGCACGCTGTGATCCAGCTGTGCCCTGCCAGTGGTGGTGGATGTGTCACTGCTGCTTAGTCACCGTGAGTGGTGCAACCCTGTCCCAGGAAGGACGCCTGAAGATGTAGGGACGTCTTCAATCCCATGCTGTCCTGGGTAGATTTTTTTTTGCACAACTCTGGTTTTAGCAGCAATTTAGGGTTTATTAATGCTTTTATGATAAATCACAAGGTTAGGTTGCATGAGTCTTAAAGCGCTTCATCAGCACTTAATCATTAGCCAGTTGAAGGCAGCGATTGCTCAGAGAAGCTGTGGGTGCCCCATTCCTGGAGGTGCTCAAGGCCAGGCTGGGGGGCCCTGGGCAGCCTGATCTGCTTGGGGGCACCCGGCCCACTGCAGGGGGCTGTAAGTGGATGATCTTTAAGGTCCCTTTCCAACCGAAACCATTCTGTGATTCTACGATTCAGTGCTTCAGTAGAATTTGTTACAGTTGAATACCACAACTTAAAGGCTTGAGAATGGCCAAGTTCAATGAAACGCTGCAGGATATTGGAGGGGATATTCCTCAACCCTCAGCTGCATGCTCAGGACCTTCTTCCCCTGGTTCATTTCTCACCTACCCTTTCCTCAGCTCTCAGTGGATGATGAGATCTGTCCCAAAAGGGCTTCTCTTCTTCAGTGTTGGTCGGCAAGGAACCTGAAGAAGCTGACCCTGAGGCGTCCCATTCCAGGGGAGGATCAGGAATCATAGTCTGCTGTGGGCCTTGGGAGCTCAAGGGGCTGCTGTCTTACGATCCTTATTTGTAGGACCTCGAGATAATTGACTTCAGTCAGAAAACTTCCCATTCTGTCCGCAGTTCAGGTGAGGCAGTGCTGGAACTTTTCACGCACTGCACAGTTCCAGTACCCAATGGATTGCACTGTGGTCTACAGAGCTCAGCCATTCCCCACGCTGCCAGCTGTTGCTGAGGCTGGCAGACAGGAGCTGCCCCATCAGGTGGCACCAACATGACCCCCCCGCACACATTCTTTTTCCCTTGCAGTGGGAATTCCAGGTAGGCCCATGCGAGGGCATCGAGATGGGTGACCACCTCTGGATGGCTCGCTTCATCCTCCACCGTGTCTGTGAGGACTTTGGGGTCGTGGCCACTCTGGACCCCAAACCGATGACCGGCAACTGGAACGGGGCCGGGTGCCACACCAACTACAGCACCGAGGAGATGCGGAAGGAGGGAGGCCTCAAGTGAGTCCTTGGGGCTGCAGCCAGGAGGGTTGGGGCAATGCGCTGAGCATCTGATTTTAAAAGCCACTTGTCACATGCGGTGGCTCGAGCATATCCCTGTGCCAAACCTGACCCCATCCATCCCCCGTAGACACATCGAAGCCGCCATCGAGAAGCTGAGCAAGCGGCACGACTACCACATCTGTGTCTACGACCCGCGGGGCGGCAGGGACAACTCCCGGCGCCTCACCGGCCACCACGAGACCTCCAACATCTTCGAGTTCTCTGCTGGCGTGGCCAACCGTGGAGCCAGCATCCGCATCCCACGCCAGGTGGGCCAGGACGGCTTTGGCTACTTTGAAGACAGGCGGCCGGCGGCCAACTGCGACCCCTATGCGGTCACGGAGGCCATCATGAGGACCACGGTGCTCAACGAGACCGGGGTGGAGACCAAGGAGTATGCAGAGCACTGAGGCCGTGGGATGGGTGAGGGTTTTGTGTTGACGCTGATCGTGCCCGTGCTCTCAGCTGTGAGCTCAGACTCTTTAGGAAAACTCGCTTCTGGTTTTGTGAAACGTTGCCTTAGAAATCCTATATATTTTATAGTAAGAGGGAGGGGCCCAACCTATTTTCTCAGCCACTTTTTCTGGTTCCTGGTTTTAGGTCACACCTGGGGAGGTTGTTGGTTTTTTTTTAAGCTTGGATTGAATTTTTTTTCTTCTGATGGACTTTACACTGTGATGTACATAGATTCCTACATGGAAGCTGCAGCTGCTGCTGTTTGCACCTGGGCAGGGTGTGTGCTTTTTTTTTTTTTTTTTTTTTTTTTTTCCCCAGTGTCTCTGTTGCAAGGAAATGATAATAAAGAATTTTCCTGGCTGCGTGGCAGCTGTGTTATCCTGCTACAGGTGCATTTTTCTGTACCTCCAAGAGCTCCATGCAGGATTCAGTTCGAGTCTTGCCGAGGGGTTGATGCTGCTGGGACCAGGCAGCGCAGGAGCTGAGATGCTGGAGGAGCCCTGGGGCAGTTTTAGCTGCTGCAGGGGCTGTGCTGCCCCATTTGCCGCATCCCAAAGCTCATCTCCCTCCATCGTGATCCCCACAAGGCAAACAGAGCAGCACAGCCTGAGCAAACAGTGGCCGGGGCAGCAGCTGGCGGGTGTTTGCACTGAGCTGCTGAGTCAGCACTGCACACAGCAGGTGGGGAACAGCCCTTGGGAACACTTGGGGCTGAGCCATGGGGCTGAGCGATGCCCCCACTGCACCCCCAGCACGATGCCCCTCGGCAGCTCGAGTGATGGATGCTCTGCTGATCCCCGGGATGCGGTGTTGGTGTCTGTGATCCTGGAGGCCGTGGATTTCTGAGCAAAACGCTTCAGTGTCACTCCAGATGACCGTGGACAGAACGTGGGTGCAAGTGAAGGGAGTGGTGCACAACAGTGCCTGTTCTGCAACTGCAGGATCCCCTGTTGGGTGGCACGGGCTGGTCCTGGGCTGGGACAGCTGCATGGCCACTGGCAGCAGTTACCCAGAGAGGATGGGGTACTTGCTTTGGGGATGGATGGTCTCACATCTGCCCTAGTGCTATCAGAAGGATATTGAATCTTGTTTTGCCTTTTCCTGTGAAGCGATGAGCCCAATCTACAGATCCCAGCTCCCTCCTGCTGGTCACAGCACTGCCAGAGGAGTGGGAGAGATGGCAGTGGGAGATGGAGATGCTGTTGTGCCCCAGATCTGTGTGTAGCCAGGAGCCCATGGTGTCTCTGAGCCATTCAGTAAATGCAGCCTGCTCCTCCCCACACTAACAGGGATGTGTTTTCCTCCCAGAAATTGCCATTCAGTATTTTTAATGCTCTTCATCCAAACCACAACTCTGCCTTGTTTTCCTCTCATTTCTATGATGTCTTTAATGGGTGATGTGAGCACTGGGACAGTGACTGCTGCCTGCAGCTGGAAAATCAATAAAGAGCTAAATCTGGAGCAGGAACACTCATGTTCCTTTCTCTGTACAAGCGGTTTTGAGTACAGCGCTGTGCCACTAAATCTGGAGAAGCATGGAAATCTGCATTGCCAACATACAGATGGCTCTGGCACAGCACCGGGTGGGGTGCGTCCATCCCTTTGTGTCCGTTCCTGGTCTTATCCTATAATTCTCCCCCACTGGAGCCATTTGGGGAGGACAAGGAGGCTCCAGAGACTCCCAGGGCCACAGGGGCTGTTCCCAGCCCTGCGTGCTGCCCACAGGGGATGCTGTGGTTTCTGCGTGCTTGGATGCTGCTGGCTGTCCTATGCCAGAATGTAGATCTTGCTTGTGCTTTTTGGGGTCAAAATGGGTCAGAAACCATATTTTATGATTTTTTAAATTTTTTTTCCCCCTTAAAGCAGGAAGATTTCCACCCACAGGGCCAGCACCGCAGGGGAAACAAGGACATGGGAACCTGCTCTCAAGAACTTTTCTAACAATTTGGCTGCTGTAGGAGGAGGGTTGTGGGGCTCAGTTGGCAGAGCAGATGCTGGGGACGGATCGGGTCCGGGCCGGAAGCGGCAGCGGGCTGGCAGCATCGCCATCCCTATGCTCACATCATAGCAGGGCACCATGATGACTGGCAGCAGTGAGGGAGCCCCACGCGAATCCCAGCGCAGGAAGGGCTGCTAGGCGGGGGTACAGCCAGGAGGCCCGGCTTTGCCTTGGGGCACCTTCACCTAGCGCTGTCCCAAAGGGGCACCCCGAGATCTTCCCCCTGCCGGGGCCGCATCCTGCGCGGGGAGCGCTGCGGGTTCCTCCGGGTGCGGAGCTCAGCCGGGCCTTTGCTGCCCTCAGCAGGCTCTGAAGCGAACGGCAACGAGCGCGGCCCCAGGACCAGCCCCGGCCCCACAGCGCCATTCCCACCCGGCAGCGGGGAAACAAAACACATCTGAGCTTTATTCCCGCACCCCCGGGGACACCGGCTCGTCCCGCAGCTTCCTGTGCCCCAGAGCTCTTTCCATCCCTCCCAGTGTGTTACACCGGTTTCAGCCAAGGTCTTTGGGATATGTTTTTTTAAATTATTATTAGAGGACACTAGGATTGCAATTCTGATGCTAACAATGGCACTACTGAAAGCTGCTGGGCAGAAGTGGGGAGCTCGAGGTGGAAAAAAGGCTTGAACTGAAGTCAGTAATAACCTCTTTTTTTTTCCCCTTCCCCTTCTCCCAGCCCACACAATCTGCTTGGCTCTCTTTATCTCAATAAGCATTTAAACGGTTTCAAATTAAAATAAAATCTCTGGAAAATGGAACTTCATTCCTTCAGAACTTCAGCCTGGCCTTTAAAAGCCAGCAATAACGTTTTGGTTTTGTATGAGAGCATCTTTGATCTCAGAGGCGCTCAGCTGCAGGGATTGCAGCTCAGCACCAGCAGCTCTCCGCCATTGGAACGCAGCTGTAAGGGAGACGCAGGGAGAGGCTCATCTGGGGATGCTCAGCCCTGGTCCTGTGCTCATCCTGAAGCAAATCTGTCTCCTCTGACACCTCCTTAGGAACCCAGCACCCCCCTAGTCACAGTAACAGCACAATAGAGCTGGACGAGCTGTCACAGTCCCCTGTGAGCAGCAGGCTGGGGGCTGCAGAGTGTTAGGAATTGGCAGTGATGGGCTGTGACGACCCTGAGCAGCCTCAGCTGTGCCCTCACTCGTGGGCCTGGGGCTCTGTTTTAGCTCAGACCGGTAGCATTGCAGGGAGTTTTACTGATGGTCTGGATGTTTGGTTGGAGTCTTCTGTAATCTCTGGTCTGCTGTGCTTGGGAGCAGAGGGCTGGGGTCCTGGCTGGCGAGACCCTGCCCTACAGCTGTGGTGTCCTTGCTGTGCCCCAGTGGGAGAAGGGTAAGCTGGAGGGCTGAGCATCAGGGCAGCTACAGCATGGGGTCAGTTCTTCCTGGTGACATCCATGTGAGGACCTGGGATACTACATGTGTCCTCTCCAGAGAAGTTCTCTGGCCGTGCACGGGTTTGAAGAGGACGTGATAAAAATAGCTGTAGGTAAGGTTGGGTTTAAAACATCCCTTTCTGCAGGGGTGATGGATGCTGCTGGGAAACAGAGCAGTGAGTGGGAAAATTAGGCTTGCCTTAAACCCATCTGAGCCTCAGCTCATGGGAAACCAGGAAGGAGTGAAAAATGCAGCAATGAGGTGGTGGTTCAGGGAAAGCGAGAAAGAAAGATGTTAGCAGGTCTGGCAGCAGCTGACCTGTAAGAGAGCTCCAGGGAGAATGCTGAAATCAGTTTGGGGGCTGCCCTGCTGCAAAGGCTGCTCTCAGATGGCTCTCTTCTGCAGGGCTTAATCCTGGGCATATGCTCACAGTGTGCCTGGGGTGTTGCCACCTCATCCACACACTCACAGCCTGTGCTGTCACTGTGGTCCTGGCCGTGTTGAACCAGGCACACCACATCCTTCCCTCCTGGTCCTGAGCCAAGGGTCCGGTGGTTTATCGCCCAAGATGTGTGATGCCTGATGTGTCCTTCTGCCAAGGTCCCTCTTCTTGCATTCCCCAGTGCAAGGGCTTTGTTATTCCCAAATAACCCAGTGAAAGAGCCACGAAGCTGCTGGCTGCAGAAGCACCACCTGATGGCTTGGTAAAGACGGGCTGCGGACTTCGCCAACCTCACTAGTGCCACCAGTTGGCAGGAGATGCTCAGTGTGTGCTTCCAGCACGAGCAGAGCTTCCATCAGCGCTGTGCTGAGGTGGGGCAGTGCTGGGACAGGCCCTGGAGGCACTAATCAGTGGTGCTCAGGTTGGGGCAGGTTTGGCAGAGGTGACTCACCTGCTTGTGACAAGCCTGCTGACATCATAGCACTGGCCTCTGAGCTCCCGGAAACTCAAATTAATGATGATGGAAGGGAAAAATCTTGTGTGGGACAGCCCTGGCAGAGGGAGGTTTGGGCTGAGATGACTTATAGTGTGTGCCTGGGTCTGGAAGGCTTCTGGGCTAACAGAACTGCACTGCTGATGTCCCCCAGCCTGAGCCTGGGAAGGAGTGTAGGGGCTGTAGGGTGTCTCCACCTCATACTCTTGATTTGGGGGCTGCCATCACCCCAGTGTTTGCTCTTCTTTCCTCAGGCCCCTCATGCTGGGTTATGGGAAGAGTTGGGGGATTTCTTAGTAACATCTTGTCTGTGCTACCTACTGCAAGGTCCATCCCACAGCTTTTATCATCTAGAAGGGGGATATGGGGATTGGTTAAATTAATCCTCACTGGAGGCTGCTGAGAGGTGCTGGGATCGCTCCTGGCAGCTATGGTCAGCCTAGATAGCACCACTGACCCTGCTGCAAGTTATCTCCTTAGCAGTCAGCAATGTGGGATGACTCCTCAACTCTTTCTGGGAGGGGAATGTAGTGCTTTTAGGCAAAAGATCTGCAGCAGGTGAGATGGTGGACTTTGCACAGGAGTGGCTGATAAGCCACAATGCGGAGCCCACGGTGGGGCAGCAGGAAGGGCAGTAGAGTGCGAAGAGCCTGGGAAAAGCTGGGTACTGCTGGGTGTGATGATGGTGAGTGCTCTGCCAGCTATCTGGGCTGCCCTGCTGTAACAGGGAAGGAGGAATGAAGAACCAGGCAGTGATGGGAAAGGAGACATGATGTCAACCATAAGGTCCAGGTGCCTTGCTGCTCAGGTGGTGATTGGGTGTAGCTGGGGATCCCACTGCTATTGAAGCCACTGCCTGCTCAGGAATGGCAAGCGTGTGGGTACTGGTCTGCCTGTAGGGAACACGAATACAAACAGTTTTACAATGAGAAGAGAAATGCAAAAAGAATATGCAAATCCAGCCCTAAATTTTAATTGGACTTCTTCTCAGACTGGATCCTGCTGGGATTGCAGAGCAGGTGAGTGAGTCCCCCTGCCCCCAGAGCTCACAGGCAGACTGCAGTCCCTCTGCCTGAGCTGTGATACTGACACCGTGGGGAAGGGAGGACAGACGTCCCACCTCCTGATTTCCCCCCACAGTGAGCAGCACAGGCTCTTCCAGTGAAGGAGATCAGAAATCCCAGCAGTGACCTTAGAATTATAGTAATAATAATTGATGCCTTGCTGCTCTCTAAGGATTTTCTAGCAGGTTAGCCAGGTGTTGGATAGGTGTTAAGCAATTAAAGCAATAACACCCATGTAACAGGGGCAGGTGCCAACTGTGTCATGGGCTTGCAGTGGCTCAGCTGGGGGCTTGCTCTATCCCCTAATTTTCTTTGGCTTTGGGATGAAATTAAGTGGGAGGAGATGTTTTAGGGGAGGTGGCCCTGAATTGCCTTTTTCCTGCAGAGGTGGGGATTAAATTAGGAAAGCAAAGCAGGCCAAGAGCATCTGGTGTTGCCTATGGATGCTCATCTGGTCCCTAACAAGGAGGCATAAATGTCATCATGCGAGCTCAAGGGCTTGCACGTATCTGTGTGCACCTGGGGACAAACATCAATGCCTCAGCCCTGTGTGTGTCTGCATGGGGGAGGCTGCTCCTGCGGATTTCCATCGATACACAAACAGCAGTACGTGGGCTGGCATAGACAAAAACCAGCACAATAACGTGGGGGCTGGAATAATGCTTTATGGGAGGAGACCTGAAGGGCTCAAATTGTTTGGTTTATCAGAGAAATAGAGAGATGGCTTGATTTTAGTGCCTAAGTGCTACCACAGGGAGAAATTACTCAGCACTGGAGGGCTGTTTGATGTCAGGGAAGGGCAGAACAAGAACCGGTGGTTGAAGCAGAAGCCTGCCAAAGTTGGACTAAAAAGCAGGCGTGCATGTTAGCAGTGACAGGGATGAGCAGCAGAAGCAAACTGCCGAAGCATTTGCCAGGATGTTTTTGTCTCTTAGTGCAGGGTGGTTTTGTTTCTCTGGCGGAGATGCCTCAGCCAAATTATTCCTTGATCGGGTGTACAGTATGAGGGTAATGGGATGACATTGCTGTTACAGCCCCCTAGTTGTTTGTTTTTCCTCTTCTTTGATTGATTCCTGGAG